ACCCTGAACCCTGAACCCTGAACCCTGAACCCTGAACCCTAAACCCTAAACCCTAAACCCTAAACCCTAAACACCCGGGACCCAGCCCCCAAGTTGGCTGCGAGCAGAGGCGCACGAGAGGAGGAGGGGTAACAACCCTAAACCCTAAACACGTAACACCCTAAACCCTGGCCATAAACACTAAACCCTAAACCCGAAACACGAAACACCCTCAACCCTAAACCGTGGCATTCTCCCACTCCACCATGGACCCCATCCCAATGGTGCAGACCCGACCCGGCAACATCCAAGTGACCATCGGGTACTGGAGGCACCAAGGGTTCTCGGTCCACCAGGCCAACTCCACCCCAATGTGGACCACCCTCGGGGGTCCTTACCTCCTCCTTTCCACCCCTGGCGACCAAATCACCAGGTTCCATCGCCAGCTCTGGCAGGACTTCCACCCCCACATCACACTCACTCCACACCACTGGCATTTTCGAATGAGTCCCTGCGGAGAACCACCACTGTGCAGGTGGCAGGTCAAGGTCCCACGATTACAATGACTACAACAACTGGCACAGCCCGGCGAGCCTTTTGGGTTTAGGGTTTAGGGTTTTCCCTCGTGAAGAGGTGGGTGGGCCTAGAGGGCCTTGGTCTTGTGAACCCCCTAAACCCTAAACCCTAAACCCTAAACCCTAAACCCTAAACCCTAAACCCTAAACCCTAAACCCTAAACCCTAAACCCTAAACCCTAAACCCTAAACCCTAAACCCTAAACCCTAAACCCTAAACCCTAAACCCTAAACTCACAGGAAAGCGGCTCGCAGAGTTTCTCCGACTGCAAATGTGATGAAGGCAGGGCGGGTCGAGCGCGTGTTGGGCGAATCATCTGTAGAGAAAGGTGGCACACTTCGCTAGATCTCAGGGTTTAGGGTTTAGGGTTTAGGGTTTAGGGTTTAGGGTTTAGGGTTTAGGGTTTAGGGTTTAGGGGTTTCGGTTTATAGGGTCTAGGGTTTAGGGTTTAGGGTTCAGAGGTAGGCACGATGCAAGCCTGGGCTCTTGTTAAGAAAAGGTCCTGTTTTAAGAATCATTAGCCTCATGAACTCAGAGGCCCTAATATAATACACCGTCATTAAGGAATATATATGTATATGTATGCCTTTCAATATCACCCAACTTTTTGGGCTAGTTATTGTGCACTTAAACGCGGCCACCATGATAGGGAAATGGGGGCTCATATCCCTAGAACTCTTGCAAGTGCACAGTAGCCCCAAAAAGTTGGGCTCTCAGGCCGAACACTTCACAGAGTCGTGCCAGGTTTTTGGGGGTTTTGGATCTTCGGATAACGGGTTTAGCCCTAAACCCTAAACCCTGAACCCGAAACCCTAAACCCTAAACCCTAAACCCCTAGGGTTTAGGGTTTAGGGTCAACGTGTCGCATGTCTTGGTATGTTTGCCATGTCCGTCACGAGCAACCACGAAACCATGAGCATCTGAGTGCTTCTGCGCGTCGAAGCCCACCTGTGAACCCTGAACCCTAAACCCCAAACCCCAAACCCCAAACCCTAAACCCTAAACCCTAAACCCTAAACCCTAAACCCTAAACCCTAAACCCTAAACCCTAAACCCTGAGAGGACGCTAGCTGTGAGCCTTCGCCCTTACAGGCATCATGCCGCGACCCAAATCACATGTCCATTTCTCTTGCGACGTTCGGAAAATCCAAACCCTGAGCCCGAAAACTCTCTGATTCAACCCCCGGGCCCTATATATCCGAAACCTCAACCCAGGCTAAGCCCGAGCCCTAAACCCGAAACCCTAAACCCTAGACCCTAAACCCTAAGCGCCGAACCCGGAACCCTAAACCCTGAAGCCTGCACCCTGAGCCGCCAGGAATGTACATGTGCAGTGGCACTGGCTGCCAAACGTGCCCCGATGGCCTCTACTGCGCAGCAGGTGCGACGCACTGGGGCACGAGTGTTCGTAGGGAATTCGGGTGTTTAGGGTTTGGAGTTTAGGGTTTCAGGCTTTAGGGACTCTATGCCTCTAGAAGTGCTAAAAAGGGGAATCTGAAGTACTTAAGTCCTTAGTCAAGTAAGGTACGGGTTGCTTTTATGCCTCCGAAGTACTAGAACCCTTCTCATAGGACCCCACAGCCCCAAACACAGCACTCCTTTTGCTTGGGGAAGCCCATCTAAGTTTCGGGTTTTCGGGGTTGGGGGTCGAGGGGAGGGTGAGCAGCTCGATCAGTGTGGTTAGAGCTGCTCGGAACAACAAGACTCGTCATCAGCCTGCAGCCACCCTGTAACCCCAACTGGGGACCTTTGAGCCCCAAAACCCTTTAACTCGCTCTTGCAAGCACAGCGCCTAAGCCACTACCATACACCCATAACCCTCCAGACCTGGAAAGCTTCCTTTGACTGAATGCCAGTGCTCCTGCGAGTCTTCATCCTTAGAGAATCCTGTGTCACCCACCGAAAATGAACTACTCCTTGAACTGAACCCTAATCCCCACACCCTAAATTCCCACCCAGGCCTGCTTAGGCACCCACCCTTTACTAGTGGTGCCTGGATCCGGAGCTACACCCGACAGCAACACCATCGCTTGGTGCTACCATGCAAAGCCTACTTGAAGGCTCATGGTACTTATCAACCAATGAAAACTGTACTTATGATTGTGCTTATAACCATACTAGGGCACTTAAGGGGCTTATAGGTGGGTGGTACGTACAGTTACTAGGTTCGTAAGTATCATGTAACCTCCAAGTAGTTTTGTTGAACGTGAGCTGCACTGGAGGGCTGCTCAGTGATTCACATGTGTTCATAAGAAACCCTAAACGCAACGCTGTTCCCAAAACGGCTTTCTGTGGAAAAGATGCCACGGTTTAGGGTTTAGGGTTTAAGGGTTAAGGGTTTAGGGTTTTTAACCCCCTAAAGCCCGGCCCCTTGAGGAGCCGGAAGCTTGGTGTCCAGGGACCAATTGCTCATAATCCTGGTTTGCAGGCTTCTTAAGGTTTTCTGGTGGAGGTTCCTGGCCCCCCTACACACCGCAAGCAAAAGACCCTTGAAGCCTCGGAACCCAACTTCAAACCCAAGGTTCGAAAACTGAGCGAATGTAGGGCGCCAGCCCGAAGCCCTGAAAGGCAAACGGTTGGGTGGGTGCAAGCGCAAGCAGGGGGTGGAAAGAAGAAACAACCAACTCACCCTGAACATATGCCGACCCGAGATATTGCCGATCCCCCCTCCCCCCCCCCTCCGCTCACCCCCGACAACCCAGTGTGTGTTGCTCTGCATGGAATCTACTGCGGCCCAAACCCTAACGCCAAACCCCAAACCCCAAACCCCAAACCCTAGACCCTAAACCCGAAACCCGAAACCCGAAACCCGAAACCCGAAACCCTAAACCCTAAACCCTAAACCCTAAACCCTAAACCCTAAACCCTAAACCCTAAACCCTAAACCCTAAACCCTAAACCCTAAACCCTAAACCCTAAACCCTGCCAGGCCTTGGCCTGCCAGTTCAGGAAGCAGGCTTCTGGACTGCCTTCAGCGGCCCGGGCCAGCGCCGTGGCTCGCAAACCCCAGGAAAACCTTCTAAAAACCCTCTAGGACACAGAGTAGGCGGTTTAGGGTTTAGAGTTTAGGGTTTAGGGTTTAGGGTTTAGGCTTTAGGGTTTAGGGCTTAGGGCCCTTACTCCCCTCTTTTTGTGTTGCGGTTCCCTTATAAGTTTATAAGCCCCTGGAAACCAAAAAGGGCACCCTTTTATTTCCTCGGTTACTCATCAGTGTAGAAACCCTATAAACCGTACAAACCCTATAAACCCGTGTTTTCACCCTGTATAACCCTCAAACCCCTGAAACCCCCTAAACCCTGCAAACCCTATATAGCCCCTAGACCCTACAAACCCTATAAGCCCTACAACTCCTCCAAACCCTGAAAACCCCAGAAACCCTAAACCCTAGAAACCTAAACCCTAAGCCCTAAACCCTAAACCCTAAACCCTAGAAACCAAGGTAAAACCTAGAAACCCCCCCCCCCCAATGGGCGTTCAAGCCCTGAGGGGTCATAAGGATGAGAGACTATCTAGGCGGGTTCAGGGTGTCTTTCGCTGCTAGGAACCTGGAAATCGCAGCTTACGGGTTTAGGGTTCAGGGTTCAGGGTTCAGGGTTTAGGGTTTAGGGTTTAGGGTTTAGGGTTTAGGGCTTTGGGGTTCCCTCTGGGTCTTTGTCCCCTTTGTTTTGGGGAAGCAAGCACTGGGACATTTCATTTGATGACTTACTTTACTGATGCCTGATACACTGTGACCAAATCAATTCATGCCTCGTCTGCTTCGGTGCCTTTACCGACTAGCACCCTAAACCCTAAACCCTAAACCCTAAACCCTAAACCCTAAACCCTAAACCCTAAACCCTAAACCCTAAACCCTAAACCCTAAACCCTAAACCCTAAACCCTTAAACCTAAACCCTAAACCCTAAACCCTAAACCCTAAACCCTAAACCCTAAACCCTAAACCCTAAACCCTAAACCCTGAACCCTGAACCCTGAACCCTGAACCCTGAACCCTAAACCCTGAACCCTGAACCCTGAACCCTGAACCCTAAACCCTAAACCCTAAACCTTAGACCCTAAACCCTACTCCCTAAACCCCGAAACCCTAAACCTTAAACCCTCGGCCCCAAGCCCTAAGCCCTAAACCGGATCAAACATGACCGTCTGGCAACACGAACCATCGACCGGTGGGCTGGGTACATGCCTGCCACATTGTGTTGTTTCTGTGTCATCCACCCACCGACTCGTCACTGCCCCACACGTGTGCTGACTTATTGCGAAGGCAGTGGGTCATGAGACCCGTGCATCACGCTGAGTCAGTGTGGTCCAAGACCGCCAAGTGTCATCACTGCATGCTCAGTGTGCAGGAAACGCTTAAAACTGCACACCCTTCTCTACTGCCTAGTTCATTCCCTCGGAAGCCCTAGTACACTCTCTATAACCAGAATTAACCAAATTTCTTGCGCAATGGAAAGCGTCCCTTGCCCACTAGACTTTGGATTGGAAGGAGAAGGAGTCCTTGTTTTCCCACCCCGAAATGAATCAGGTCGCAGAAGCTTTTAATTTGGCAATAGCAAGAAAAAGAATTAGAATGAACTGGGAAATAGTGAAATCTGCGCAACTGTCTCAATTGGCTGATTCACTCGTCCACCTATGTTCAAGATCACGCACTTGTGTGGTATATTCCATGATGACTACTTGTTCCAGCACCAATGTCAGAAAGGGTTTCATTCTTTTGGGTAGTAGTTTTTTCGTGCAAAGCATCTCTTAATCGACACAACGCGTTTTCACATGTTAGATTGGCATAGTTTTTTCCAACAGCAAGGTAGTCAATGCAAATGTACGTGCACATGTGTCCTCACTCGTCGTGGAAATGGTGCTTGCAATAATACTGCTGCCCCACACTGTACCCATGAACCCCACGAACCCTTCAAACCCTGTGAGCACTAAACCCTAAACCCTAAACCCTAAACCCTAAACCCTAAACCCTAAGCCCTAAGCCCTAAGCCCTAAACCCTAAACCCTTATCCCTTAACCCTAAACCCTTAACCCTAAACCCTAAACCCTAAACCCTCTGCCCTAAACCCTAAACCCTAAACCCCAAACCCTAAATCTAAACCCTAAACCCTAAACCCTAAGCCCTAAGCCCTAAGCCCTAAACCCTAAACCCTAAACCCTAAACCCTAAACCCTAAACCCTAAACTGTTGGATTTCGGAGCCCTTACCGAGGTGCAATTTCAACGTGCTCCGCTGCAGAGACATTCAGCAGTGCCGCTTGGCCGTTTTGGAGTCTTGGATTTAGGGTTTAGGGTTTAGGGTTCAGGGTTCAGGGTTTAGGGTTTAGGGTTTAGGGTTTAGGAACCCAAAGAACAAGTCGATCGAGTACACCCATAATTTCGTTCTACACCCCATGCCCTCGTTGAGAGTTCTGGGGATAATATCTGTACATGGGGGAGGTAGAACCTATGTTAAGAAACTCCCAACTAGGACCTGTAGTGACACCAATTGTTTTCTACTGCAATCTGGAGAAACCCGTAAACCCTAAACCCTAAACCCCAAACCCTAAACCCGAAACCCTAAACCCTAAACCCGAAACCCGAAACCCTAAACCCTAAGCCCTAAACCCCAAACCCTAAACCCTAAACCCGAAACCCTAAACCCTAAACCCGAAACCCTAAACCCTAAACCCGAAACCCTAGACCCTAAACCCTAAACCCTCACCCCTTCTGAAACAAACGAAACGCAGTCAGAGCCGAGGCCCAACGAATCCTCTTGGCGCCTGCGCTCCAGGCCGCGAAGGACTGGACCCAGGGCCCAGGGTTCAGTTCGGGTATAGGGTTTAGGGTTTAGGGTTTAGGGTTTAGGGTTTCGGGTTTCGGGTTTGGGGTTTCGGGTTTGGGGTTTGGGGTTTGGGGTTTAGGGTTTAGGGTTTAGTGTTTAGAGTTTAGGGTTTGGGGTTTAGGGTTTAGGCTTTAGGCTTTAGGGTTAAGGGCTTTAGGGTTTAGGGGTTTAGGGTTTAAGGTTTGGAGCTTCTAGGGGTTTAGGGCTGAGGGCTTCTTAAGGCTTTTAGGTGGTTTAGGGCTTCTAGAGTTCACGGAGTGGGGTGTCTGTGGTTTAGGGCTTCTAGGGTTTCCAGGCTTCTAGGGATTTGGGTTTAGAGTCTACGGTTTAAGATTTAGAGCTTCGGGCTGAGTGCTCCTGGGTTTTGGATTTGAGGTTTAGGGTATGGGGAGTGCAGGGTTTAGGGGTTCTTTGGTCTTGAAGACTTAGGTTTTAGAGTTCAGAGTTTAGGGTTCAGGGTATAGGGTAGGGTTTAGGGTTTGTAGGGCTTCGGGTTTGTAGGTTCTGGATTTTGTGGGCTGAGGTAGCTGTTTCATGTACGCGGCACAGACCATTATCTTGCTGTACATGGCGGCAGATGAAGTGCCAAGTCAGAGATACAAGTGATCAAGGGAAACAACAACTGGAAGCCTAAACCTCGAACTCTTGAGCCTAAGCCTTAAATTACGCACAAAATCTTAGGGTAGTTACACGATCCCTTGGTATGGGCCCTTAATTGAGGACCCCTTATATTTACCCTATACAACCCAAGGGCCCATACTTCAGAACTCTTAAAAGAGGTAAGTGACCATACTAATGACCCACACAAGTACCCTTAGACGGCCCTTAGACAAAAACAGCGTGAGGACTGGCGTGCAACAATTGCCGGGAGGGCTACTTCCCTGAGGAAGAGGGAACTTGCCGGCGGCTGAGTGTTTGTTTTGGCTTTGCGGGAGGTTTTAGGGTCTAGGGTTTAGGGCTGGGGCGTCCCTAAGGCCGAAACCATAAACCCTAAACCCTAAACCCCAAACCCTAAACCCTAAACCCTAAACCCTAAACCCTAAACCCCAAATCCTAAACCCTAAACCCTAAACCCTAAACCCTATGGGGTTCGGGTTTGTTCAGGGTTTAGGGTCTTGCCCCCCCTGCGTTTTTGGCGGCGCTTGTACGGGCTTTGCTTTGGCCTTCGGGCGATGGCTAGTTCTGGGTTCCATTAGGGTTAGGGTTTAGGGTTTAGGGTTTAGGGTTTAGGGTTTAGGGTTTAGGGTTTAGGGTTTAGGGTCTAGGAATCGAAGTTTTCCCGGCTCGCGGATGCTTCTGTAGATGTCCTAAGTTTCCGGCGACAAGGCTTTAGGCTTCAGTTGTGGTTTAGGGTTTAGGGATTAGAGTTTAGGGTTTTGGGTTTCGGGTTTAGGGTTTAGGGTTTAGGGCTTAGGGTTTAGCAAGGTCCAGGGTTTAGGGACATGTCAAGGGCCTTTGATCTTGCAAGAAAACCCCCAAAGCAATCCACATCTGGAATCCTACACGGAACCCCACCCCGGGGCGGCTCCTGATTAGGCTCCGCGGTTCTTCAATTCTGGATTGTGGCGGGTTTCTTCACCCCAAGCCCTGAACCCTAAGCCCTAAGCCCTAAGCCCTAAGCCCTAAACCCTAAACCCTAAACCCTAAAGCTTGGGTCACGTCCGGGCGTGCCTTTTTTTGAGCTCCCTTGAGCTGAGGTCTGCCGTGCAGCCCCGGTGATTCCCTTCCGGCCGTCTTCAGCGGCATCGCGGCCGTGATTGTGGCTTGGGCTGTGAAAAGTGGAGTTTGGGGTTTAGGGTTTAGGGTTTAGTGTTTAGGGCTTGGGGTGTAGCTCAGAGATGTGGGTTTAGGCCTTCAGCGCGTGAGTCTACAGAGTCCAATCCATTTCCCAGGAGGGGAAGTTTTGGTGGGATGGTTTGTCTAGGACCCAGAGTAGGCTCAGGTTGTTAAGAGGGTTTAGGGTTTAGTTCATTTTTCTTCTGAGGGCTTCTAATGAGGGGGTTTGGGTCTTAAACCCTAAACCCAAAACCCAAAACCCTAAACCCTAAACCCTAAACCCTAAACCCTAAACCCAGGTTACAGGCAGCTCGTTGGAGTGGTTGAACGGCAGACGGCAATGCACAAACCAATTGCCGGACATCATCCCTTTGTAATTACCCCTTACTAGCCTTACTTAATTCGATACATGCAAAACTCCCCCCCCCCCCCCAAACCCTAAACCCTAAACCCTAAACCCTAAAATCCCTAAAAGGCCTACGTGCCGAACCGAGGTCCTGATCTTTCTGCTCTCCTCCGTGAATGCCGACCTGAACCAGTGGCTTGCTTGCTGGGGTTTGGGGTTTTGGGGTTGGGGTTTAGGGTTTAGGGTTTAGGGTTTAGGGTTTAGGGTTTAGGGTTTAGGGTTTAGGGTTTAGGGTTTAGGGTTTAGGGTTTAGGGTTTAGGGTTGGGGGTTTCGGGTTTAGGGTTTAGGGTTTAGGGTTTAGGGTTTAGGGTTTAGGGTTTAGGGTTTAGGGTTTAGGGTTTAGGGTTTAGGGTGTAGGCTTTAGGTTTATCCGACCCCAAACCCTAAACCCTGATTTATGCCTGAAACTGGGGATGTGCCCCCACAGTCCTTAATAGGGATTATACTCCCTGTTAAGGACTGTTAGTATCAGGGGGAACATCCCAACCTGAAACCCTGAACCCCAAACCCTAAACCTAAACCCTAAACCTTAAGCCCTAAACCCTAAACCCGAAGCCCTAAACCCTAAACCAACCCTAAACCCAAAACCCAAAACCGTAACCCAAAACCCTAAACCCTAAAACCTAAACCCTAGACCCTAAACCCTAAACCCTAACCCCTAAACCTCCAAACCCTAAACCTAGGCAGTCCCTCAACCTCCTGACCGTCGCCGCAGTGGGCAGTCAGATGGTGATGGCCGTCCAGGTTTCGTGGCTGTTGTGTTTGTGCACTTGTGGGTTAGGGTTCAGGGTTTAGGGTTTAGGGTTTAGGGTTTAGGGTTTAGGGTTTAGGGTTTAGGGTTTAATGTTTAGGGTTTAGGGTTTAAGGTTTAGGGTTTAGGGTTTTCGGTAGTCCCTAAACCCTAGATCCTCACTCCTTAGCTGGTAAGGTCAAGGGGCGTTGGTTCTCGAGTTTAACCATCCCCTTTTGGAGTTCTCGGTTTGTGAGCGATGCCTGAGCCTTCCCCTAAAATTAAAGGGTTCCTAAGGGAGGGGGGTTGGGCCGGGGTGTGTAAGCCAAGGTTCCCGAATACTCCCCACTACTCCCCAAGGCTCCCTAAGCTTTTTAGAAGGTTTGCCAAGTACCTGCCCCCCATGAACCCCCCTCCCTAAAGAACCTCCCCCTAAAAAACACCCTTCTTTAAGCATCCATGCGTGCTTATGTGCGTACTCAGGGTTTGTGGTTACAATGCCTGTCTCTCAAACCCTGCTCAAGGTACAACCTTAAACCCCGAAGCTCCTAAACCCCTAAACCCGAAGCCCCTAAACCCCTAAACCCGAAACCCCTAAACCCTAGACCCTAAACCCCTTCATGGGTTCCCCTACTACCCCCATCTATACTACCACCCCTAGGTTGCCCCTGAAATAGCCTTAACTAGGCTTAATTATCCCTAAATAGCCTTAATTATGGGGGGAACCAAGGGGGGTCTAAACCCTGAACCCTGAACCCTAAACCCTAAACCCTAAACCTCATCTACGACATGGCCGTCGTGGGATGGGGGCCGAGGGCCCAGAGTGCATTTGATGTCTCGAAGCCCTACGACCTTTGTTACCGCGTGACTGAAATGGAGCATGGTCTCTCAGATAGGCCGCTCCACACAGACGTGGTGCAGCTTTTGGGGGGCTTTTACACCCCTGCCTTCGAGCGCATCCCGCCGCCTCCTGCCCTGAGGTCCCAGATCCTCATCATTGGCGATTCTTCCCTCGCCCTTTGTACTCACAAAGGTGGGCGCGCCGTGAACAAAATGACGTTCCAAGGCCCTCTTCGGGACGCATTGGCGCACGACCCTCGCGTGACGGAAGTCAACGTTATGATGGAATGGGGGAAAGACCTCACCCTAAACCCTAAACCCTAAACCCTAAACCCTAAACCCTAAATCCTAAACCCTAGGTAGTATAGAGGGGGGTAGTAGGGGATCATGACCTCTGTGGCAGGCGCTGGGCTCCATCCGCCAGCTGTCGATCAACTGGGTGGAGCCGGTGCGCTACATCATCGACATGACGAGGCACTCACCCTAAACCCTAAACCCTAGACCCTAAACCCTAAGCCCTAAACCCTAAACCCTAAACCCTAAACCCTACACCGCAAACCCTCAACCCTCAACCCTAAACCCTAAACCGTGGTTGTTTGTGGCCCAGAGACTCCAATACCCCTCAAGGCATAGTCCGTAAGATATGGGCCTTTCCCAAAATAGGGGTACCCCCTTTATGCCCAAATCGAATAGAATCCCCTTAAAGGGACCCCCCCAAAAACGGCCACACTATTCTCGGAAACCCCCATATAGAAGGAAGCCTGTTGTAAGTTAAGAAGTGTTCCTTGAATAACGGGGTATTGGGGTCTCCCAGGTTCAGACTCTATTGACCCACGTAGCCCCAAAGCATCCTCCTAAAATCGGCGCCCACCATCAGATCTCCTACGCAACCTCTAGGCTAAGTTCTTCCTTTAGTGTTGAGAGGTTTGGAGGACTAGAAAGCCCAAAAGCCCTAAAGCCTGGGCCCTAAACCGGATTACCGGGGCGGCGCCCTTCTTCTTTGTTTGTTAAGATTGTTCTGCTAAGCATGAAAATCTTCAACATGATTGTCAGCTACTATTGTTTACCAAAAACAAGCTGCTGACTATGAAACAGTGAGCTGTTGAGTAATTGGCAATTGGAAACGGATAGTTATTCACGGCTCACATTGTTTTCAACATGTGCAGTTTGCTAGGTCACTTCTTCATTCGTTTTCATGAGAAAATCAATATGTACTTACTAGCCTAAAAACTGCAAACGCAGAATTTCTCGTTAGTCGGGTTTATTAGCGGATGTTGAAAGCATTGCCATGTCAACAGTTCAGTATTCATGTGCTTATGATTGCTTTTATTCAGTATTCATGTACTTAGTCTTGCTTCTTATTCTTATTATTCGGATTATGCTTATTTTAGGTATGTTAAGGTTCAGGATTCCGTGGTGACGTTTTCGGCTCCTCTTGGATGTAGCTGAGTAGCACAGCACGATCAGCCTACAATCCACACGCCAGCAGCAGCATGTTTTCGCTGGCCTGTCGCCAAAAACTCCAGGATCCCAAATCCTAGTCCGAACCCTAAACCCAAAACCCTACAGCCCAAACCCTAAACCCTAAATCCGAAACCCTAAATCCGAAACCCTAAACCCTAAACCCTAAACTTTAATGACCCTAGTCGGCCCCCGGCCTGTGTACACAGGCTGCTTACCTTCGATTTCGACATCATTCGCATCTCCTGCGTCACGGGTCAGGATAGCCAGGCCCCCAGCAACCTTCGAGGGACTAAAGAAGAAGCCGGTTCAGGTTTAGGGTTCAGGGTTCAGGGTTCAGGGTTTAGGGTTTAGGGTTTAGGGTTTAGGGTTTAGGGTTTAGGGTTTAGTTAATGTTGACGTAGGTATATAGGGGCTATATAAGGTAAGTATAGGGGCTGTGTAGGGGAATAAGCCCGAAATCAGTTAGCAGAACCCTTGCCCATTTTGGGTAATAATACCACCAGTCAACCCATTAGACGATTATTCCTATACTCCCCCCTACACCTCACCAACTATATCACCACTACTTCCCCATTACCAAGACCAGTATAGGAATAACCGATTACCTCATCCATATAAGAGGAATATTCCTATACTCCCTACTACATCCCACCCAATATATCACTACTACTACCCCATTACCAAGACCAGTATAGGAATAACCAATTACCCCATCCATATTCCCTAAGGTGGTATTATTACCCAAAATGGGCAAGGGTTCCCTCGTAGATAGTACTCAGATTAGGTTAGGCTGTAGGATGTGGGGAACACCATGAACCGCAAGATTTCTTGCCTAATGCGCTCGCCTTGCGGATGACACACGAAAATTCTGAGCAGATTCCAGCATGAGGAATTCAAGGATCATGTAGGCTTAGGCATGGTATGACAGGGAGAGACCTGTGAGTTGCTCCCTGCGAGCGCCCATGGCTGATACCCCATCTGCGCCTCCTTCCAAAAAGGCGAGGTCGGGTGAACAGGACTGGCATGCCGAATGGGAAGAGGCCAAGACAGCACATGATCAAGCCCGCGGAGAGTTGGGGGAAGCACTCAAGATGGAAAGCAGCAATGATCAGTATGTCCAGCATTTGCGCGACACGGTGGCCAATGCAAAGGAGCGTGAACAGTTCGCTCAGAACATGCTCCTGAAGTCCCAGACCCAGCCATCGGAGGTGCATCAGTGCCCAAAAGGGTTATAGCCTTTGGTAGGTTCATATTCCTGCCCCAAAAATTAGCCTACAGTCCCCTTAAGTAGTCCACGCTAGGAGGTTTGGTCCCTGCTAGGATTTAATGCTTGGATAGTTTGGTGGTTCGGGTGCTTAAGGATTTAGGGTGCATTCGTGAAAAATTGTTGCAGTCTTGCTTCCTGCGTGCAAGTGACCTGCAAAGTCAGGACAGTATGATACAGAAGTTGGAGAGCCTGCGACTGGACTTGGGCGAGGTCAAGCGCGAGGTCAAGCAGGACTTGGGCGAGGTCAAGCGCGAGGTCAAGCAGGACTTGGGCGAGGTCAAGCTGGAAGTGGGCGAGGTCAAGCTGGAAGTGGGCGAGGTGAAGCGGATCCAGGAGGTTCAGGGAGATGTTTTGCCCAGGATGGCAAAGCAACTATACGGCTTCCGTGCTGCTACCCACTCCACCTTCGATCGCGAGTTTGAAAGCAAGTGCCAAGCATATTATAAGACGACTTCATGCATGATTTTGGGTCAAATTTTTCCAGAGTGTCTTCAAGACTGGGGTGAGGATTATTACTTTGGTTCCGATTATTTCCTGCCCGTGGGTGAGCACATCTACAAGAAGAGCATGGAGACGGAAGGAAAAGACTTGGGCATCGTGACCAGACATCCTCGGAATGGACTGTTGCTGGTAAAAGCTTTGGAGTCACAGTTCCAGGATGGTCACATGGTGCTGATTCCAGTGGAGGCAGCAGGCGAGCAGTTGTGCAGCGACGCCGGCACTCTTTCTGATGTATCAGAACCCGAGACGCAAGTCACACTACAAATCCACGTTGCCGCATTTCTGCATGATGAACCTGTCATGTGGTCGGACAAGAAGCAGAAATTGATCGAGCCGGTTCCTTTTGAAAGACCCATCGTTCAGGAGCCGAAGAGGAAGGGCAAGAACACAAACAAGAGCAAGAGCAAGAAGAAAGTCTTGCAGACGCAGCCTATTAGGTTTCGTGACTTGCATCGGCAAAACATCGTCATTCGCAAACCTTTCATGGCAAGCCTTTACATGCAATTAGAGTTTGCTCACGAGACTCATAGTGAACTCCCTGATCCGAAAGATGCCAATGTTCGTGACAAGTTCTTTGGCATATGCCAAGATCGCATGAAAACCCTCATGCAGCGCTTGTGTCGTGAAGTGGAGCCGAAGCGAGTTCTTCCAGAGGAGGCTGCCTTCGCAGGCGACACGTAGACATGTTCAGACGAATCAATTAGCCCATGTGTGTCCGCATGTGTTAGAGTTTCACCTGCTGCCAAAGCATTCGGCATGCTCGCGGATGGTAAAACACTGTCGCTAGATGAAGGTCGTGGGCAGTTTTGTATGCTCGAACCCTGCCCCCCTAGGAAAGCCATATACACACACAATCACAGCGAAGCACAAATGGACGCACAAATAAGTTTGACACACATGGTGTAGGGAGCTTTGGGGCGTTTATTTGTATTAAATATTAAAGACATTGATACATATTAAAATCTCATACAAACCACTGAGCAAAAACAAACAAAAAACAAGAAATCAACAAAACAAATAGAAAACAAAATAAGAAAATCAAGTTACTAAAAAGAAGCGTTTCACGATCATGATATTATTAACATCAATAATAATATTATGATCATCACAATTTTTGATCTGCTATATAATCGCATATTGTAGTAAAGTCAAAATTTTGTCTCTGTAAGTGTATTTGATTTTCTATGTATGTCACAAGTATGCTTTTAAACACATTTACAATATAATCCTCGTAGCATGTTCTGTATGTGACCGTTTCCTTCATTCTCCCTGCATACTGGAAACTAAAATACCCCATCGTACCCAGAATAAAGTTTCTCTTATAACTGTCAAACATATGAAACAAATCTGTATCATTTATAGACTTCTTCATTAGTAATTTGGTTGCGTGATTATACAAATACGAACGTTCTATTATTTTCTTTAAACACTCCTTCTTTTTCTTGTTGTTCTCTAACTTTTGGTATGACTTATCAACAAAGTTAAAGATACAATGAATTTGTTTTTCAGCCTTACATAATTTGTTATATTTATCTTGATCATAAATCGTCTCATACTCTAGTATTTCTGAACAACAATGGCAGGCAATATAAGAGGTAATATTATCAGTAACGTTTTCATCAAATATACACATCAGCACCTCTCGCTTTCTGTTTCTGTGTTCTTTGCATACTCCACATTCAAAATCAAAACGAAATGTTTTCATCATTGTATTCTAACATATATAGACAATATTTCTTTAAATACATTTCTGAAGAAAAAATAAATATATTTTTGAAAATGGAGCATAATATTATTAGCATCATTAATAATATTATGATCATCACAAGTTTTGCTTCTCCTGCCAGTCTTTGTGCTTCTGTGTGTCATAATGCCTGTTTTTGTGAGTTATGGTGAAATGCCCTCCGCAATCACATTGCGTTCGTTGTCGGTGATATGCTTTTAGTTTTTCTTGGTTTTGCTGATAATACTGTTTTCTGTGCTCTGCAATTTTCTGCTTATTCCTTTCCCGATAGGACTTGTCCCGTTCTGCTTTTTCACGTTTATGACTTTCTCTGTATGCCTTCTCCCTTGCCTTAACTTTGTCTGCATTTTGTTCTCTGTATTTCTTGGCATAATCCAATTTCAGCTCTCTTGTGTCATCATGATATTCTTTCCACTTCCTTCCTGCAATGAGTTTATTTACACATTCTGTGTTCCTGATATAATACCCCTCTCTTGCGTTCAGTTCCTCTTTAGATGCACATGGGTAACTTTCAATAAGTTCAGCCTTGCAGTTTTCCATTCCGAACTCTTCAAAAATGTCAAAACACGATGTTCTTTTGGCATCGTTGTTACTATATCTCCTGTAAGCGTTGCGATGTTTCGCCAATCTGTTTGACAGTGTTTCTGTCGTTGAACCTATATAGCATTTGTTATAACCATTGTCCGTTAATTTGTAAATCTTGCCTCTATTATATTTGTTTTCTTCCATATCTTATACTTGCAATTCCTCTTTAAACATCTTTTTTTAATGGTTTTACACTTTCAACAACTCAAAACGAAGATAGGGACGGTCAGGGTTACCTTCCACATAATAATGACTTTGACTTAACTTCTTTTCTATTCTTTCTATTGTATACACACCTTTACTGAAATTTCCGACCCTTTCCTTCTCATTCGGTTTTCGCTTCCTAAATATCTTGACTTCGTCACCCTTGTCAAGATCCGGATATATCCTATTACGTTTACCACTACTGGCAATATTCAACCTGACGCTTAATTCGTTACTCGGTTTCCGCGCCTCTTTCGGCGTGAATTTTGTAGCGGAATGTATCATTTGAGTGTTATATGTAATCAGTATCTCAAAAATATAATCAGTCCATTGAATATTACTTTTCCCCTTTTTCTCATCAGCCTCAACTCTTTTGTATAACATGTCCTTAAAAGTTCTGATCGCCCTCTCACTGAAATTCGCGTGTGCCCTTGTCCTGTGGTGCTCTATCTTCTGTTCCTTTAAATATGTTTGAATAGCTTCTTTAGACAGAGCGCCTTCATCATCCGTATAGAGTATTTTAGGTTTTTTCCCCATCTTATGCAAACACTCAATCATACCACTCGCTAAATCCTCTTCTGTCTTACCTTTTATTGCTACCACATGCATAAACTTATCAAAGACATCTATCATGATCATACCAACCTTGAACTTTTGATCTTCCAGATCGTTTATAAAAAACAAGTCCATTTGATACTCGTATGCCGAATGTGGTGCTACAAAACTGTTCTGTCCCGCAGGTTTTCTTTTTGCCTCCACGTTCTTCTTGAAAAACTCGTTAACATCGTCAATAGTTATACTTTTATCTTTCTCCCGCGCTTCCTTTAATGTCCTCTGTCTGCTCCCATATCCCGCGCGATCGTAATACACATCATTAATTATTTCTTGTTTACTCATATAGCTACAATACAAAATATTGATTTAATCTTATTTCTAAAATTCAATCAGCATTCTTCTGCTTTCATGGGCATCACAACTTTAACATTATTCATGTCATACTTCGGTCCTTTCTTATTCTGACTGCTGTTGAATTCTGCCAGTTGCTCTTCGGTTAAATCTTCTATTGTGGTATTGATATTGTTGTCTTTTAGATATTGCTTTAACTTCTTCTTTTGAATGCACTTCAAGGCAGAATCGCGTTTTTTCTGCATGTATCCTTCATCTTGTCTTCGCTTGTAGTAATACAGTCGGTTGTAAATTGCCAACTGTTCTCTTATCTCTTCCATGGTCATATCCTCTGGGGTTTTCATAGACATAATACTATACTATATATTATAATATTTCTTTAAGTGAATTTTCTGAACAGAATTTCCCAAAAAATATTTAGTTTTCAAAACTTATCTTCAGAAAAACATTTAAATATAAAATTATTTTATAGTCTAATTATATTGACATGAGTAAGACCATCCAACGCGGTGTAAAAGCATTAGAGACAGTGTATGACTTTTATAAAGGCAGACTTAACAGAGCAACCAAAACAAAAATCAAAAATATCATCGGCTTATACGATGACAGAAAAATAGCGCAGTTCACAACAGCAGACAAACTAATAAGGAACTTCATCAATGCCAAGACAGACCAACAAATGCAAAAGGCAAGTGACCAATACAACAAGGTATACGAAAAACACAAGGAAAAGAAACCATTGGGTGAACGAATGCAAACAGCAAAGCGTGACAACAAACTCACAGAAATCCGCAGACGACTAACACAGAAGACCGCAGTTCAGCGAATACAGAAGAGGGTGAGAGCGGAACAATCCAAAACAACACATGCATATTCCGTAGACCTTATGTTCTTCAAATTTAAACTCCCCAAGGATACCATCAAAGCATCCTTCAAAGACAGCAAGGGTAGACCCCTAATCCCGATCTGGTATGAGACTAAGAGAGCAACTATACAAACAACAGACTATATAGAAGACTTATCGGGCAGACGTGTGTTTCAATACGAGACCAAAGACAGGTATGTTTTCAAGAAACTGATGAAGACAATAATGTCTGACCCAGATATGGAGGAAACCCTTCGCTTCGTCCATCCCTATATAGTGTGCATCAAAGTTAAGGATGTAGACAGAGTAGATGGTGACACTGATTTTATACCAGTGGACGAGAATTTAACTGACACCTCCCATGTGAGCATGTTCCACAGATACATACAAACTCCATTAAACCCAGAATACGAAACACTAAAGGAAGCAATCAAAGTAAACCATTATCAAGAAAACCAGTGTTGGTTGAACACCATAACCGATTACTATAAGGACACACTTATGGGAGAAAAGCGCAGAGAAAAGAACAGACTAACCAGACAGAGCATGTTGACCCTGATAGGTAAGTCAGAAGAGGATTTTAAAACATCAGGTGCATCAATAAAGGAAATGGTTAAAGTGTTTCAGCACTACAGGGTCCAAGTCAGAATATACAATGCTTTTCAGAGATTGATTTTTCAGTATGACCCGCCCAAACGAGATCATCATATACCAACATTATATGCCATTGTGAAGAACAACCACATATACACAGTAACCGATAATTTGAATGTATTAAGGCAGATGTTACCAAGAAACTCTGGGTATGAGATTTCAGTGAAGGCTTCACCAGATTATCACCTGAATGAGAAGGACGAACCCGTTCAATGTAAAATGATACAGTCACTTAACGACATAAAGAAATATAACGAACATGCTGAGTATACATTGATATATGATGGTCATGACCTTGCCGAGCTCTTTTATGAAAGCAAAAAGGCAGGATACGAACCGCAAGTTAAATTCAGTGCAGGTATAGTATCGGAACTTAATTTTAAATTCAGGATAAAAAAGAATGTCATCAAATACAAAGTTAAGACCCAGAACCTAGTAAACAACTCCATTGACGGAACTATATCAGTGAGAACTGAGCAGATCTACAACAACATGTCTAAAGCAATGTATGTATTTAATAAGTCTTTGTTTAATCCACTACATAAGTCATACTACAATGAGATTGACATGGAATTGTTTAAGGAATGTAGAACGATAAACCCAGTTGGTGAGATAAACAGACACTACTTCCAATACAACCCACACACAAACAAAGATGACAAGATGTTTTACATGCCAGAACACACGATAGAAATTGATATTAGAAAGGCATTCACACATGCT